CTAGTCAAGGACACATACCTGGGTGTCAGGTTAGACCCCCGCCCCGGTCGGGGTGCCTGTGGGAGGCAACCAATGGAAGTCAGTCTCTCTTTCTCTCTCTCTCTTTCTCTCTCCCTCTCCCTCCTTACCATTCTCTCTAAAAATCAATGGGCCCTAACTGGTTTGGATCAGTGGATAGAGCGTCGGCCTGCAGACTGAAGGGTCCCAGGTTCAATTCCGGTCAAGGGCATGTACCTTGGTTGCGGGCATATCCCCAGTAGGGGGTGTGCAGGAGGCAGCTGATCGATGTTTCTCTCTCATCGATGTTTCTTGTTTCTTTCTTTTTTTTAAATTTTATTGATTTTTTACAGAGAGGAAGGGAGAGGGATAGAAAGTTAGAAACATCAATGAGAGAGAAACATCGATCAGCTGCCTCCTGCACACCCTCCACTGGGGATGTGTCCGCAACCAAGGTACATGCCCTTGACCGGAATCGAACCTGGGACCCTTCAGTCCACAGGGTGACACTCTATCCACTGAGCCAAACCGGTCAGGGCTCATCAATGTTTCTGACTCTCTATCCCTCTCCCTTCCTCTCTTTAAAAAAATCAATAAAATATATTTTTAAAAAAATCAATGAGAAAAATAGCCTCGGTGAGGACTAACAACACAAAAATTTTTTAAAATTAAAATAAACAAATAAAAGCTTTGGATAAGAGCCTTTAAAAAAATGACATCAGAATTACAATAAATCCAATTCAGAATGTGGCACAAGACAATGCATTATTTCTTCAACAAATAAGTGGCATTTTAAAACTGGGTGTGGTGGGGGGTGCCATGGTGGACAGATGGAAAACACAAACCAATCAAATATAATCTGTGGGTCTTGTTCAATTCCTTATTGTAAAACCACCCCCACAAAAATTATTGGGACAATTGAACCCTGACTGGTTATCAGATGATATTGAGGAATTTTTGTTCATTTTGCTGGTATATCTACACTAATAAAAGACAAAATGCAAATTGACCATGCCTTTGCTATGCCTTAAGCCACGCTCACCAGCCAATCAGAGCAACTATATGCAAATTAACCCAACCAAGATGGCGGCTGGCAGCCATGGAGCTGGAGCAAGCAGGAGGCTTGGTTGCCCAGTGATGGAGGAAGCCAAGCTTCCCGCCTGCCACGGCCAGCTCTGAGCTCCACTCAAGGCTACAAAGTTTCAATTATAGAAGGTAAATAAATCCCAGAATAAAAAAAGAAAAAAAAAGAGAGGCTGGGAGCTTCTGTCACCGGGGGGGCCTGGTCTTCCTGAAAACAGCTCTCAGCCCCTTACCCAGACTGGCCAGGCTCCCTAGTGGGAACCCCCCACCCTGAAGGGGGTGTGACTAGCCTGCAAACAGCCATCAGCCCCTCACCCAGGCTGACCAGGAACCCCAGCAGGACTCTTATCCTGATCCGGGACGCCCTTCAAGGCAAACCAGCCAGCCCCACCCATGCACCATGCCTCTATCCTATATAATAAAAGGGTAATATGCAAATTGACCCTAACAGCAGAACGACTGGGAATGACTGGTCAATATGACACACACTGACCACCAAGGGGCAGATGCTCAATGCAGGAGCTGTCCCCTGGTGGTCAGTGCACTCCCACAGGGGGAGCTCTGCTCAGCCAGAAGCCAGGCTGATGGCTGCCAGCACAGCGGTGGTGGCAGGAGCCTCTCCTGCCTCCTCAGCAGCACTAAGGATGTCCAACTACAGCTTAGGTCTGCTCCCTGCTGGTAAGTGGACATCCCTCGAGGGCTCCTGGGCTGCCAGAGGGATGTCTGACTGCCAGCTTGGGCCTGATCCCCCAGGGAGTGGGCCTAAGCCAGCAGGTGGACATCCTTCGAGGGGTTCCAGACTGCAAGAGGGCATCGGCCGGGCTGAGGGACCCCCCTGAGTGCACAAATTTTTGTGCACTGGGCCTCTAGTAATATATATAATACTAGGGGCCCGGTGCACGAAATTCGTGCACTGGGTGTGTCGGGGGGGAGTGTCCCTCAGCCCAGCCTGCCCCCTCTCACATACTGGGAGCCCTCAGGCGTTGACCCCCATCACCCTCCAATCGCAGGATCGGCCCCTTGCCCAGGCCTGACGTCTCCGCCAGAGGTGTCAGGCTTGGACAGGGGACCCCCCATCTCCCCCCGATCACTGGCTCTGGCCCCCGCCCAGGCCTGAGGCCTCTGGTCCAGGAATCATGCCTGGGCAGGGGACCCCCATCTCCCTCTGATCGCTTGCTCCACCCCCCGCCCAAGCCTGACGCCTCTGACCCAGGCTTCAGGCCTGGGCAAGGGGACCATCATATCCCCCCAATCCCCGGCTCCGCCCCCCACCCAGGCCTGATGCCTCGGCCAGAGGAGTTGACCCTCATCACCCTCCGATCACCAATCACCAGATCGGCCCCTTGACCAGGCCTGAGGCCTCTGGCAGAGGTGTCAGGCCTGGGCAGGGGACCCCCCAGCTCCCCGCAGTTGCAGGCTCCGCCCCTGCCCCTGCAGGACACCTCTGGCTGAGGCATCCGGCCCGGGCAGCGGGGACCCGCAGCTGCAGCGGCCCCGGGATCGTGGGCTTCGCTTTAGGCCCAGGCAAGGGACCCCTAGCTCCCGGGACTGCCAGCTTTGACCGTGCCCAGCTCCCATCGCTGGCTCCACCCCTACTTCCTGCTATCACTGGCCAGGGCGGAAAAGGCACCTGATTCTCCGATCATGGCTGGGGGGCAGGGCAAAGGCGGCCCGATGGCTGCCTTTGCCCTGCCCCCCAGCTCTTAGCTCCCCCCTGGGTTTCTGATCACTGTCAGTGGCAGGGGGCTTCTTCCTGCTTTCCCTTTCCCCTCCCTGCATTGTGCCTACATATGCAAATTAGCCGCCATCTTGTTGGCAGTTAATTTGCATATAGCCCTGATTAGCCAATGAAAAGGGTAGCGCCGTATGCCAATTACCATTTTTCTCTTTTATTAGTGTAGATAATAATGGTATATATGTATATCCACCCACAGCACCATCATATATATGTATGTCATATATATGTGTGTATTTTCCAGGGAAATTACAGAATCTCTGGGATTTGCTCTAAAATACTTTTTGAAAAATAGCCCTACAAACTAAGAAAGGTTTAATTGTGTAAATGTGTTTTTGTGGGAATTTCTGAATGGGGCCATAAGAGGGACTTGGGAGGAGGGCAGTCATGTTCATCAAGGGTCAGTTGGGTTGGGAGCACGAGTGTGCAAGCCTCTGTGAATCCTGTGTCCCAAGCTGGGGAGAGGAGACCCAAACTAGATAGGGCTTTCCTACTCTGAGACTACGGGGCTTGAGGACCAAGCAGTGACCTTGTTGGAAAAGGTCACAGAGGCAGAAATCCTGCAAGGCCCACAGCCTAAGTGACACATCTTCCACAAAAGTGGTCACGAGACGCTGTTGGAATGAGATGGAGGGAGGACGGGTTGACATCCTTCAGCAACCACAGTAACTTCACTGTGCACCTTGACATCTGTGGAGAAACCTGCACAGGGCCGAGCAGCAGAAAAGGCATCTGCCAGAGAAGCCAGGAAGAAAAGAAGGGGAAGGCGGGATGCAAGGTTCAAGAATATAACTTTCAAGGTAAGAAATCCTCCCGGCTTGCAGGAGTGATCTCTGGGTTGTAGGAAAAGGGCTACCTAACTCAGCCTACTCTTGGAGATGGGCAGATGGGAGAGGCTCTAGCAAGACCAGGCATCAAGGGCTCTGTCATCCTGTTTAGCCCATACCGAGACCTGAGAGAGAATCGACATCTCTGCAAAGTCAGTCTGTCCCTGCAAGTACATCGTCTCTGTTTCTGTTCACTTAGATTTTCTTTAATATCTTCCAGTAAAGCTTTATCTTTTTCTCCACAAAGGACTTGCACACCTATTGTTAAATTTATTACTATTTTATATTTTGTTGCCATTGCAAATTGTATATTAAAACTTTTATTGCAGTGTAACATAAAGTACACAAATCAAGTGTACAGCTTCTTTTATATATGTATATATTCATGTAACCAAATGGTATCTTTTACTGATTTTTTACAGAGAGGAAGGGAGGAGATAGAGAGTTAGAAACACTAATGAGAGAGAAACATTGATCAGCTGCCTCCTGCACAACCCCTACTGGGGATGTGCCCACAACCAAGGTACATGCCCTTGACCGAAATTGAACCTGGGACCCGTTAGTCCGCAGGCCAACACTCTATTCACTGAGCCAAACCAGTTAGGGCTACTGATTTTTTTTATATTGATCTTGATAAGTGAGTTTAGAAATAACCTTGTTAAACTCACTTATCAACTCTATTGAATTTTCTTTTGGGGTTGCTACACATTCAATAATTTCATCTGAAAATACTGACATTCTTGTTTCTTTCCAATCCTTATATATTTTTCTAAATATACTTTTAAATTGATTTCAGAGAGGAAGGGAGAGGAAGAAATAGAAACATCAGTGATGAGAGAGAATCATCAATTGGCTGCCTCCTTTACTCCTCTTCCTGGGCATAGAGCCCACAACCTGGGCATGTGCCCTGACTGGGAATTGAACCGTGACCTCCTGGTTCATAGGTTGCTGTTCATCCACTGAGCCACATCCACTGGGCCAATTCTTATATATTTTTGTTGTCATTTAGTGGACTGGCTAAAACTTCCATTATTGTATTGATTAGGATTATTGAGAGCAGGCGTCCTTAACTTGTTCTTCATTTTAAGAGGAATGCTTTCACAAGACAAGTAGTAACAAGTGCTGGACAGGTTGTAGAGAAAAACAATGAGGAATGCTTTCCACATTTCACCATTATTGCGATGTGTGCTACAAGGTTTTTGAAGATGTCCTTTATAAGGTTATGGGTTTTTCTTTAATATCAATGGATGTTGAATATGTTGAGTATTTTTCTACATCAATAGAGATGAATAAACTTTTCCCTTTAATGTACTAAAGCAGTGGTTCTCAACCTTCTGGCCCTTTAAATACAGTTTCTCATGTTGTGACCCAACCATAAAATTATTTTCATTGCCTGTGGACATGACCACAAAACATTTCCCCAATAGGTTTTTTTTCTGCTATGTTGGTAGCATAGCATTCAGCCTACTGGGAACATTTAAAAAAATTATTTTCGTTGCTGCTTCATAACTGTAATGTTGCTACTGTTAAGAATCATAATGTAAATATCTGATATGCAGGATGGTCTTAGGCGACCCCTGTGACAGGATCGTTCGACCGCCAAAGTGGTCTCGACCCACAGGTTGAGAACCACTGTAAGGGTCCATATTTCTCCTAACGTGTGTATGTTGTGTTTAACTTTGATAAATGCCTTTTGCTATACATTCCTTTTCAGGTTTCCTTTCTCAGTTCTCCCTCCCTACCCATCCATTAACTGTTGGGCTTCTCCAGTTTCCTTCTTCACTCCTCATTCCTCTTCTCACAGTCAGCTCCCCTCCACAAGCAGGTGTGAATTCAAGTTAAAGCACTGGATTAGAGGGTAGGTGGCTTGAGTTTTGGTTCTGTCAGTCTCCAATTATGTACCAAGTCCTCTGCTGTTCAGTATTAAATCCTTGTTCTGACTACCGCCAGGATTGGTCGGAAACTCCGATGACTAAATGTAGTAGAACCATGCTGCAAAGTATTCACAGGTTTTTGTTACCAAGGTAGTTACAGGTGGCCCGAGAGAACAGATAGAGCTTGTATTTAAAGCTAATGGATCTAGAACAGGGGTGGGCAAACTTTTTGACTCGAGGGCCACAATGGGTTCTTAAACTGGACCGGAGGCCGGAACAAAAGCATGGATGGAGTGTTTGTGTGAACTAATATAAATTCAAAGTAAACATCATTACATAAAAGGGTATGGTCTTTTTTTTTTTTTTTTAGTTTTATTCATTTCAAACGGGCCGTAGTTTGCCCACGGCTGATCTAGGATCTCTAGATCCACTCACAGTTAGTGACTCTGTTCCTGTGAAATGACACAGATGGAGCCCCCCCACCCCCTCTCTCTTTCTTTCTTTTGGAGCCATTTTTAAATGGAGCCAGAGCAACCATTCTAGAGGAACTGCATTGCTTGTCTTGTTCCTTGAAACTTTGGACTAGGCTAAATCACTATTTTTTTTTCTTTTTTCTGTTTGTTTGTTTTTTAAATTTTATTTCAAGAAAATCAATCACTGGGGGTTAATGGGGGGGATGAGGACACATTTGTAATACCTTAACTAATAATAATAAAAAAAAAGTAAAAAAAAAAAAAGAAAATCAATCACTATTGTGTACAAACATAAAGCCAGCAGGAAATTGGACATCCTGATCACAGGGACTGATGATTACAGACCTTTTATCTGAAGAGAGAAGCAGTAACCTGTCCTGCGTAGCCCAGAGTAGCGCAGCTCGTCAGCACCAACAGGACTTTTTTTCATCTCATGTAATTAGTCCGTTTCTCTCACGAAAACCGCTTGCTTTCACCCTGTAATTAGGATACTGTTTGGGTTTCTGCCTGAATCAGGAATTGCAATTCTTAGATTCCCGAGTGAACGCTTGACTCAACTGCTTTTTTGGGCTGACATAACCTTTCTAACCCTTCAGCTAGCTTGCAGGTAAGACGTGCGAAGCACTCGACACGTAGTAAGAGCTCAGTGAACTTGGTGATTAGTAAATGGAGACAATGCACGTGCAGATTAGTCTGAAAAACATATAAGACCCCATAAATGAAAGCAGCGATCCCACCGTGGGTTCGAGGCTCTGGCGGCCCTAAATCCGTTCTCCAGCACTAGTGAACGGCATCCAGGTACGGAGGAGGTCTGGTGAGGAGTCTGCAGAAAAAAGTCCTCCTCTGAGCCTCGAATTCCCACTGTCGAGCTTCCATGAAGCTTGAAGCTGCAGCCCTGGTCCCTAAATTTGGTTAGAAATGCCGGAAAGACCGGGGAATGGGCTGACGCGGCCTCTCACAGCCGCACGAGGGCGCCGCTCCCACTTCCGGGGCCAGCGGCCGAATCCGCGGGCGCGAGTGCGCTCCCTGCTGCAGTCGCTAGGGGCGCTCGTCCCGCCCGCGCCCGCATTGGACCTAGTGTGCGCACGCGTGGTTCCTGTCCTCCAGCGTCCCGCCCCCCACTGCGGTGACGTCCGCCGGCGTGTGCAGGCATCGCCTGACGTAGCGGGCGGCGGCGGGAGCCTGCCTAAGCCCAGCGCGACCGCAGCGGGGGAGCGGGGTTAGAGACCTGCGGCCGGAAGTGGGACTAACCCGCCGGCCAAACTGGCAGGGGAAGGCGCCGGCCCGACGGGTGTGGCCTCGGGAGGCGGAGGGCGCTGCGATTGGCCCTCGGTTGTGGCGGCGGCGACGATTGGCCCCTGCGTGCGGAGCGAGGTGAGTGTGGCAACAGCCGTTGAAATTCAAAAGTGGCGGGTGTGGCGCCGGCTGGGTGGCTGCCGGAGCGCGGAGCGCCCGTGCTCTGCGTCGCGAGCGGGCGAGGGAACGCAGGTCCCGGGAGCCGCGGCGCCCTGTTCCCTTCGTCGCGCCCCCTGGCACGTGTGGCGGGAGCTGGTCATGGAGCCGCAGGTGAGTAGGGCCGGCCTGGGTCTCCCGCCCGGGGCCGCGGGGCCGACGGCCGCCCCCGGTGCTGACGAGCCCCCCCCCCGGCCTACTTGGAGGACGAAGGTCTGTGAGACCCCGAGTGATCGGGACGATTTAGGAGAGAAATTGGGCACAGTGAGTACTAAGAGGCAACACTTCTGAAGCGTTTTGCTGCAGGAGGCAGCAGAAAAGGGCGTAGCTGGCAGGGAAAGCAGAGTCAAGAAGCTGTGAGGCGGGAAGAAATAGCAGCGCCTGTTGCCTGCTGATCGGAATGACCCAGGGAGAATAGAAGGTGACGGTGTAGAGGCGACAGGAAGGGAGGGATTGCTGACGGTCGGACTCGGCGAGGGGCTGGGGTCTCGTGCCTTAGGCGCCGAGTAGTGGCTTTAGGAGGTTGGATGAATATCTGATTTCGTTTGTCCGTTTATTTTTTTAATCCTCACCCAAGGATATTTTTTTCATTGATTTTTAGAGAGAGTGGAAGGGAGGGGGAGAGACAGAGAGAAACATCTGTGTGAGAGACACATGATTCGTTGCCTCCCACCCCGGATTGAGGATGGGGCCTGCAACCTATGTGGGTGCCCCTGAGTCCTTGGGCCACGTTCTAACCACTGAGCAAACTGCTAGGGCTGAATATCTGTTTTTATAGGTTAAGTGCTCATGCTAATTGTACAAAGTTGAGCGTCGTGTCTAGCTTTATAGATGGGAGAAAAATAAACACTGTACTCTTGGAGTTGTCCTGAACTGAATAAACCTATGAACACATTTTCTGAACCCACACAAATTCCTGGGTGGTAGGCCTTTGGTAGTAGAGAGACTGAAGGGCACTGGTTATAAAAAAAATAAATAAATAAAATAGTGTTTGACCTTGGAAAACTTAAAGAAATATTTTTTGGGGTACATTTCTGCAGGTGACGGGACGCTCTCCCCTTTATATGTATGTACTAGTAAGCCAATGATTTGGATGTTGTGCAATTTAAGTATTCTCCTACTGATAGACATCTGATTTTATTCCTTTAAAAATGTACTGAGCCATGCTACGTAGCAGACATTGTACTAGATACTCTGGTTATACAGTTGTGAACAAAACAGATGTGTTCATGTGATGCTCACAATCTAATGTAAGGAAAGACCAATAAACTAAAATGTAAGAAGCCAGGGTATCAGGTGGTTTCAGAGTTTTCTCTATAGTGATGCTCTGCTGTGAATATTGTGAATATATCTATTGGTATCACAGGTAGTTCAAAGTCACTTTGCCAAAGCTGAACTTCCCAAAGTAGTCCTTCAGGTACTCTCAGATCTCTCCGTGTTATTTCTTACAACTGCATGTGAATCTACAATAACTTTATCATGAAAAGTTTAATTAAAAACAAAACCAGCTGTTCCTCCTGTGATCCTGATTAATGGAACCACGGCAGGTATCTTGGAGTCAGCCTGGACTCCTGCACCTCCCTCACTGCCTACCCTCTCTCTCCCCCACCCAAGGCAGCTCCCAGGTAGATCAATACAGTGGTCCCTCTTATCTAAGATTTTGCTTTCCATGATTTCAGTTACTTGTGGTCCAAAAATATTAAATGGAAAATTCCAGAAACAAATGACTCAAAAGTTTTAAATTGCATGCCATTCTGTCCATACCTATCCTTCTGTCCTGCCTGGAACATGATCATCCCTTTGTCCTGCATATCCATGCTGTGGAGGCCACCTGTCTGTTAGTCACTTCGTAGCCATCTCGGTTATTAGGTCAGCTGTCAGGGTATGGCAGTGCTTGTGTTCAAGTTACCCTTATTTTACTTAGTAATGACTCCAAAGCCATTCACAAAATTTTTATTATAGTCCTAGAGGCCCAGTGCATGAATTCATGCATCAGTGGGGTCCCTGGGCCTGGCCTGCGGGGTCAGGCTGATACCAGCTCTCCGACATCCCCTGAGGGTTCCCTGATTGTGAGAAGGCGCAGGCCAGGCCCATGGACCCCACTGGTGCACCATCAGGGCCAGGGAGAGACGCAGGAGATGGGCCAGCCAGGGAGGGACTGTGGGAGGGCTCCAGGGCATGTCCAACCCCTATTGGCTGGACCCCAGCAGCAAGCTAACCTACCAGTGGGAGCATCTGCTCCCTGGTGGTCAGTGCACGTCATAGCGACTGGTTGAGCAACCTTAGCTTATCATTAGCATATTATGCTTTGATTGGTTGAACGGCCTACCGATCGGTGGACCAGACACTGAGCATATTAGGCTTTTATTATATAGGATGTTGTTAAAATTGCCCTGCTTCCTAGTTATAGTTATTAATCTCTAAATTTTATCATAGGTATATGTGTGTGTATAGGAAAAACCATAGTATATATAGGATGCAGTACTGTCTGAGGTTTCGGGCACCCACTGGAGATCCTGGAAAGTATCTCCTGCAGGTAACAGGGGCCGGGGAACTACTGTGCTTGGCTTCATGTAATGCAGCTCCTCGTTGGCCTTCTCTCAGATGGATTTCTACTTAGCATAGACCAAGCATGTCAAACTTGCACCTGGCGGGCCGCATTTGACACACTTGACTTAGA